GTAAGCTTTCCTTCTTTGCCTTTTTTCTGGGCTTTTGATCTTTTTCTCTGCTTCTCTAAGAATGTTTCCTTTCATTTGTCAAACTATTTTGGGTGACATAGCACACTGGTTAGGAACATGGATTCGAGAGTCAGATAGGCTGGGTTTAAATCTCTGCTTTGCCATTTACTAGCTGTTTAATCTTGAGCAAATTACTTAATCTCTCTATAGACCTTGGTTTCCTCATCTGCAAAATGGGGATGAAGGAACCCTGGTGGCTTAGTGGTTAAATTCTTGACTGCTAACCGAAAGGTCAGTGGTTCAAATCTATTAGCAGCTCCTTGAGAGAAAAGACCTGGCCATCTGCTTCTGTAAAGATTGTTCTTGTTATTAGGTGCAGTTGAGTTGGCTCCAACTCATACAACCCTGTGTACAACAGAACAAAACACTGCCTGGTCTTGCATCATCCCCACAATCCTTGCTGTGCTTGAGCCCATCATTGCAGCCACTGTGTCACTCCATCTCATTGAGGGTCTTCACCTTTCTTGATGACCATTTACTTTACCAAACATGATATCCTTCTCCAGAGAATGGTCCCCCTGACAACATGACCAAAGTAGGTGAGATGAAGTCTGGTCATTCCTGCTTCCAAGGAGCATTCTGGCTGCACATCTTCTAGTACAGATTTGTTTGTTCTTCTGGCAGTCCATGATATTTTCAGTGTTCATCAACACCACAACTGAAAGGCATCAACTCTTCTTTAGGCTTCCTTATTCATTGTCCAGCTTTCACTTGCATACAAGGTGATTGAAAATACCATGACTTAGGTTAGGTGCACCTTAGTCTTCAAAGAGACATGTTTGCTTAACATTTTAAAGAGGTCTTTTGCAGCAGATTTGCCCAGTATGACATCTGATTTCTTGACTATTCCTGCCATGGGTGTTGATTGTGGATCCTGTAAAGAGTATGGCCCAGGAAATCCTATGGAGCAATTTTACTCTGCCATACAAGGTTCACTATAAGTTGTAAATTGATTTGGTGGCACAAAATAACAACAAAGTGGGGATGGTAACAGTACCTACCTCGATGGTTGTTAGGCTTGAATGAGATAATTCATGAGTTGCTCATAAAGTGTCTGACATCAAATAAACGTTAACCTTTACTCCTAATTTTAATATTACTACTGCTAACTTTTTAAAAAAGACGAAAAAGGAAGAAAAGACCAAAATGGATGTCAGAAGAGACTCTGAAACTTGCCCTTGAGTGAGAGTAGCTAAAGCAAATGGAAGAAATCACAAGACAAAAGAGCTGAACAGAAGATTTGAAAGAGCAGCTCGAGCAAAGTCAATTACTATAATGAAATGTGCAAACACCTGGAGTTAGAAAGCCAAAAGGGAAGAACAAAATCAGCATTTCTCAAGCTGAAAGAACTGAGGAAAAAATTTAAGCCTCAAGTTGCAAAACTGAAATATTCTATGGGCAAAATATTGAATGATGCAGGAAGCATCAAAAGAAGATGGAAGGAATACACAGAGTCATTGTACCAAAAAGACCTGGTTGATCTTCCTCCATTTCAGGAGGTGGCATATGATCAAGAACCAATGATAATGAAGGAAGAGGTTGAAGCTGCACTGAAGGAATTGGTGAAGAACAAGGCTCCAGGAATTGACGGGATACCCATTGCGATGTTCAGCAAATGGATGTTGTACTGGAGGCACTTACTCAGCAATGCCAAGAGATTTGGAAGACAGCTATCTGGCCAACTGACTGGAAGAGATCCATCTCTGTACCCATTCCAAAGAAAGGTGATCTCACAGAATGAGGAAATTATCGAACAATATCATTAATATCACATGCAAGTAAAATCTTAAGATAATTCAAAAATGGTTGCAGCAGTATATTGGCAGAGAACTTCCAGAAATGCAAGCTGGATTCAAAAGAGGATGTGGCAAGAGGAATATCATAGCTGATGTCAGATGGATCTTGGCTCAAAGCAAACAATAACAGAAGGATGTTTACTTATGTTTTATTGACTATGCAAAAGCATTTGATTGTGTGGATCATAACAAATTGTGGATACCATTGAGAAGAATGAGAATTCCAGAGTACTTAATTGTATTCATGAAGAACCTGTACATAGACCAGGAGCTGTAGTTTGAACAGGACAAGGGGACACTGCATGGTTTAAAATCAAGAAGGGAGTGCATCAGGATCATATCCTTTCACCATACTTATTCAATCTGTATGCTGAGCAAATAATCTGAGAAGCTGGACTATGTGAAGAAGAACATGGCATCAGGATTGGAGGAAGGCTTATTAACAACCTGTGATATGCTGATGGCACAACTTTGCTTGCTGAAAGTGAGGATGACTTGAAGCACTTACTGATGAAGATTGAAGACTACAGTCTTCGTATGGATTACATCTCAATATAAAGAAAACAAAAAGCCTCACAATTGGACCTATAAGCAACATCATGATAAATGGAGAAGATTGAAGTTGTCAAAGACTTCACATTACTTACTTCTACAATCGACACCAATGAAGGCAGCAGTCAGGACATCAGATGATGTATGTTGTTGTTGTTGTTGTGTGCCATTGAGTTGGCCTCAACTCGTAGCGACTCCTCCTTGGGTTTCCGAGGCAGTATCATTACGGAAGTAGGATTGCCCAACCTTCCTTCCGAGGAGTGGCTGGTGGGTTTGAACCGCCAGCCGTCTGGTTAGCAG